CACACATCCAATACCAACGCCCTGACAGCCAGGCCAACACAACGAACCCACCCACACCAAACCCAACGTACTGTGGCACTGCTGCCGCCCCGCCATCAACCTCCTCCGGGCTGTCCGCTGCCTTGAGCTGCAGCTTCACCAGCGCCGCATACTCGCCCTCCTTGGCCATCAGCACGTCATGCGTGCCCTGCTCCACCAGCCGCCCCTTGGTCACCACCGCAATGGAATCCGCCCCTCGGATCGTCGACAGACGGTGTGCAATCACCACAGTTGTACGCCCCCCCATAATTCCATCTAGAGCGGTTTGAACCACCTTCTCTGACTCCGCATCCAGTGCTGAGGTTGCTTCGTCCAGGAGAAGGATCGTGGGGTTGCGAAGGATAGCACGCGCAATCGCGATTCTTTGCTTCTGCCCGCCCGACATCTGCACGCCCCGCTCCCCGACCTGCGTGTTGTACCCCTCGGGCAGCCCAGAAATAAACCCGTGCGCGTTGGCCGCCTTTGCCGCCGCTTCCACCTCTTCCATGGTCACCCCGTCCTTCCCGTACATGATATTCTCCTTGATACTCGTCGCAAACAGCGCCGGCTCCTGGCTCACCAGCCCAATCTGGTCCCTCAGCCACTTCAGCTGCAGAGAACGAATATCCCTCCCGTCCAGATACACTGCACCTGCGAGCGGGTCATAAAACCTCTCCACCAGCGCCACCACCGTACTCTTCCCACTCCCAGACGACCCGACAATCGCCACCGTTGTCCCCGCCGCGATCTTCAGCGAGAAATCCTCGAAGATGGTCACATCCTTGCGAGCGGGGTACGAGAAGCGCACGTTGCGCAGCTCTATGTCGCCCGTGACCTTGCCCGGGACCTCCCCCGTGGTGTCATCCACGTCAATGGCGGACTTGCGCAGGATGGTCTGGAAGATGGTGTATGCTGCTGCCTGGCCTTTAGCGAAGGCTGTCACATTCGGCATGGCCTGGCCCAGCGAGCTGCAGGGACGGTGCAGGAGGGGGAGATGGGGGGAAAGGGACGGGATGGTTAGAGAGGGAGAGGGGGAGAAGGTTAGAGAGAGGAGTGGAGGTTGTAGAAAAGGTGATCAGGTGTGGGGAGCACAGGATCGGAATCAAGTAGTGGAGCAGATCGGGTAGGGGAGGGAGGAGGGTGGGTAGGGTAGGGCAGGAGGTTACTCACAGTCCGCCAATGAGCACGGAGAACATGGTGGTGAGCGCCTTGCCGCCAGTCGCCTTCCCCTCCGCAACAAGCTTCGAGGCGAACCAGAACTGCAGCGCCCACGCGCAGAACATCACGCCAAACACGCCGCCCATGCCCATGCCCTTGGACAAACCCCCCTTGATGCCCAGATGCAGCGTCGCCTCCAGCGCGTCCATGTACTGCTTGATCGTCTTCTCCTCCGCCACAAACGAGTACACCGTGCGGACCTGCCCGATGGCCTGCTCCGCCACCGCGCCCGCTTTCGCGTACGCCTCCTGGCCCTTGGACGTGAGGCCCGTGAGGACGATGGCGTAGATGGCGCCGCAGAAGGCGATGAGCGGCACGACGGCGAGGATGACGAGGGTGAGCTGCCAGATGCTGGAAAAGCCGATGATAAACCCCGCCACGAACGTCGCCATGAAGTGCATGAAGTTGCCCACCTGTCGGGGGGAGAGCGGGGGGGGAGGGGAGAGGGGAGGGGAGGGGGGAGGGGGGGAGAGACGAGGAAAGGGGGGTGAGTGAGGGAGAAAGAAGGGGTTCGAGTTGGAGAGGGGGAGGGTTGGGTGGGAAAGGAGGGGGACGAGGACAGTACGGGATGGAGAACAGGACGAGGGAAAGAGAGTGAGGGAGGGGAGAAGGGGCGGGAGGGACGTAAGTAACTCTCATGTACTTTATTTCTTAGTCTATAGACCTGTTGAGAGCCCAAAGATTGCCCCAACCTTCGTTAGTTTTGCAATTCTTTTCCCACATCGAGGGTATAGATTCCTTCTCAAATCAATGCACTATTCCGACCCGCAGTACGGCTCCACCAACCCTTCTGCCAGCCCCACACAGACCCCCTCAATCTCCTCCCAGAACCCTGGACTCCCCCCCCCTCACCATCCCACTCCTTCTCATCCGACACTCTCCCCTCCCCCTCACGCTCGCAATTCACCCTCTCGGAGATGGCGTCCTGGACTAGCAGCACGTCGCCGGAGACGTTACTGATGATCTGACCGGAGCTGGACTAGACTCCGTGTCGAAGAACCCGATCTCCTGCTCCAGAATATGTTTCAGTCGCACCTTCTCAAAGATAGACGCACCTTCTCGGAGATGGCGTCCTGAACAAGCAGCACGTCGCCCGAGACGTTGCTGACGATCTGACCGGAGCTGGATTCCGTGTCGAAGAATCCAATCTCCTGCTTCAGGATCGCCGCCAGGTACCGCTCGCGGATGCGCGCCGATTGCCGCTCGCCCGTGTGCATCCAGCACGATACCTCTGCACGCGGCGCGGCGCGGCGCGCGTGGACGGACGGACGGACGACACAAGGGGGACAACAGGAAGGGGATGGGGAGGAGCAAGGACGGATGGTTTGAGCTTGGAGGACGAAGTGAGGGACGAGGGTGGAGGGTTGAGAGGAGTGAGACGTTCAGCGGAAGGAGTGCAGAGGGATTCGAGGACATTATCGAAACAGAGGAACGTTGGGGAAGCTAGGGGGGGGGGTGAATGTGATCGAAACCCTGCAATCAGTCAATTACGGGTGCGGGTTGTGATGGACGAGGCGGGGAGCGAGGTGGATGGAATCATTATGGAACCAGAGCAACGTACCAAGCCAGGCTCCGAACCAGACGATTAGTCCCAGGTAGACCAGGTACGCGGAGTACTGTAGAGTGAACAACCATGGAAAAGATGGGTACGAAAGACGGAGAACGCAAACACGTGTTAGACAACGCAAAGTGGCGGTGGGACGCAACGCATGTTGCAGTGGACGGCTGAACAGAGAGATGCAAACGTTCGGCGAAGTGCGACCAGCGGAATTAGATTTAAGGCTTACTTTGCTGACGCCCGCAATGTCGTTCGTTCCCATGGAGTCAATGAGCTGTCCGAAAAAGAGGAAGAAGACCGGCAGCGCGGCGCCGTGCACGCACGCTCCGATGGACCCGATGGCGATCAACAGGTAGTCCATGGAGTCCGCGTAGGAGAAGAGCTTGTAAAACGCGACGGAGGGAGGAGGTGGCTTCTTCTCACTCCCTTCCTTAGTGTCCTTGGTGACTTCGGCTTGGTCGTTTTTGGCGGTGGACTCGCTGTCCTTCCGATCCTCGCCATTTTCTAGACAGAGAGAGAAAAAAAACAAAAACAAAAACAAAAAAGAACGGAGTTAGGCAAAACACAACAAATTACAGAAACAAAACGAAGTAAGCGGCAAATGAACTCAAAGCTAATGACAAAACGCTTAACTTGGCAAACGCGAGATTGGAATGAACAGTGCGCAATTGGTGTATATAGGACTTAACACATGAAATTGAGTATACCTTGTAAAGCTCCCTGAAGTGGATCGGTAGGTGCTGGCCCTTCTCCCATGGCGACGAGGCGTCAGAGCCAACAAAAATCGTATGTGCTGGATCTTGAAGAGGTGGATGGACACCAGACCGAAAGAAAGAAGCGCTGACGATGTGAACTTAGGTCGCGGGCGTGGCAGCTGGGCCCGATGCGCGAACCAAATGGGGCCCCAGGAGCTTCTCCTGTGCTGGTGGGTGTGGAGAGTCCCGTGACACTCTCAGACTCGAGTGCGATATGATGTGAAGGCAGCGATTTGTATGTAATGGTGGTGCTTGCCTTGCCAGCCCCCCACTGACTGTGACTGACTGTCTCGTGTTGTTGTGTACTGTTCTGTTCCACTTGGTGTCTCCTGCTGCTGCTGACCTGATGAGCGAGCGAGCTGAACTGGTTCTCTGAACGTGACTTTGTTAGATCGCGGTCGTTGGTTCGGGAGAAGAAGGGCTGCAACGACCGCTCCCCTCACTTTATGCATCACGGACGATGCAGATCACCTCAGTTGGAGAGGCGAGTCCGCGCGGAGATTGCCGCGGTGTGGCTGATCCGGCTCCGCACCGCCCACTCATATGACACTTGGCAGGCAGCGCGGCTGGCTCCACGCGTCACTTGCGAGCACCACAGGCGGAGATGTTGGAGAGGGCTACCGAAGGGATTGGTTGGAAGAGCCGCTTTCCGAAAGGTCCCGCGTTCCCTGGCTCAGGGAGGCTCGGGGCTCGCCCAAACCAAGCATTTGCGGCTTGGGATAGAAAGCGATAGTGACGCTATGCAAAGGAACGGAGGGCGGGCGGAAGTGTCGTCGATGTCACCCGTGATGCTTTCCCTGCTGGGCAGGAAAGGAAAAGAGTGGAGTAAACCCCTCGCGAAACGTCACGAACGTGCAGTTTTTGTTTTCTCGGGTGATCCGAAACGCTTTTGCCCCACAAACACAAAAGTGCAGTGAACCACTCACTCTCCAAAACCCCTAGTTTCCCTGATTGATGACGTAAGCTAAACACTGACATAGTTTCGTCGAGACTTCAGAAACTGCCTGTCTGGTTGGATACTGTCCCACCCGAAGCAAACAGTGACGATCCCTCAAAAGTCTAGAAGATCCTGGATCTTATGTCGAATCGTCAGCAACAATCTCTCTGTACATTGGTTCCATAATAGTTTCTGAAGTTAATTTGTTCCCGAACATTGTAAAGCATCGCGCGGCAAGTGGGTGGCGGACTTGCATTTCTGTGTCGAGCATAGGGTGTTTGTCACGCGAGGGTTGATGAGTATTTATATGAGACTCAATAATCGAGTAGTTGCGACACCTGTTTCTGAAAATATTTATGGAGTGCATGTGCCAAATACTAGGGCCGAACAAGAATTGGTACTTTTACGGTACTTTCTCTTGGCTGATCTAAGGAAATGCGTATCATCAAGCCATAACTAATACAGTACATGAATGTGCATTGGTATATTGTGCACCAAAGTTGGACAGATACATCTAAGCAAGGGAATTGAAAAATAGAGCAAGGAGAAGCAGAATCAGTGTGCATAGAAGTTTGGAAGAAGAAAACGCCCCTGCAAGTGGGCAAAGGACAGTTTGAAACGCACGCAGTGCAATACTATGAGTTAAAAGGAAGGATTTAGACTGAAACACACAAGTATGGGACGACAAAACCACGAGTGGATGGGCATTGGGTTTAGCAAATGAGCTCTCTCCCTCTCATTTGCTGTTCCTCCCTTCCTCCCTCTCGCTCCCACACCCCAGACTTACCCCCTCCGCCACCCCCTGCCACCCACAGAATCCCCTTCCTCTCTCTCTCTCTCCCTTGTATCCCCCCTCCCACCACCGCAGCGCTGCCAAGCAACAACCAGCAACCCGGACCCAACCCCAGCACCCCTCCCTCCCCGCTTCACTTACCCTTGGAACGAGGATCTGGGACAGTGAATACGAGAGGAGGAGGTGGAGGTGGGGCTGCAATGGGCGCGAGTGTGGTGCCTGTTAGGGCATACATGGGCGAGAGGCATGCATGGGCGAGAGGCATGCATGGGCGAGAGGCATGCATGGGAGAGGGGCATGCATGGGAGTGAGGCATGCATGGGAGAGGGGCATGCATGAGAGGGAGGGCATGCATGAGAGAGAGGGCATCGCTGCACTATGGGTGTGCTGTAACTATCACGTTTATTTAAAAGACCATTCGAGGGCATGCATGAGAAAGAGGAGGACATGGAAGACTGGGAAGTTTCATGTGATAAGTAAGGAGAGAAGGTGAACGGAAGGCAGGCAGGCAGGTAGGCACAGGGAAAGATAGACAGAAAGACAGGCTGGCACACACCAGGAGAAGTGAGAGGCTGCTAGGGATCACAAGTAAGACGATGAGAGGCGGGCGCGGGAGCATGGGTATGGTTATGTGTGGATGGGGGATGGGCGTGTGCGCATGGAGGTGCGGGCAGATGAAACCAGTTGATTTGATATGGTGGAGAGGGGGGGATTACCTACAGGGAATGTGAGAGAGGGGTTCAATCCAACCAAGAAGAACACAGCCGATGGCAGATGGTTTTGTGACTGGACACACAACAAGGCATGCCATGCCAACATGAGTGGATGGATGGGTGCAGCGAAATTTGCACATCATACAGGGGGTTCTAAGGTGCGTTGTGCGTGAGGGGTTGAGACGCAGAGAGCAAGGGAGAGGGATACGGAGAGGGAAAGGGAGAGGGAGAGGGAGAGGGAGAGGGGGATAGGGAGAGGGTTTAGGGTGGCTTTGTTGTGTGTGGTTTGTTGCCTTACCCTGTGTGTACTTCGGTGATATCAATACGACGGACCGTTCGAGAGGGGGATAGGGAGAGTGGCGCAGCATACAGTTCATGGATTGGAAGGAGAACATCTTCCTGGTGTAGTCAAACGTGAGAAATTGGTCCCTGATCCACATGGCTGCTCGCATGATGCACGCGGAGAGGAGTCGGGGAGAGTAGTAGGGGAGAGAGGAGTTGGGGAGAGTAGTAGGGGAGAGAGGAGTTGGGGAGAGTAGTAGGGGAGAGAGGAGTTGGGGAGAGTAGTAGGGGAGAGAGGAGTCGCGGAGAGGAACAGGGTGATGAGTCGAGGAGGGGGACGAGAGGGAAACAAGGACCAGACGAGGAGAAGCACAGGTGAAGAACGGGAGCGAAGCACTGCCACACTCCCCCCTTTCAACCCTTCCTAAGCCCTTCTCCGCTTCCCTCCTCCCTTCCTTTCCCCCACAGCTTCTGCAATCACTGCCCAGAAAGGCAGACTGAGTGGCATTGGCATCCAGAGGCACAGCAGCGAAGCATTGCGACAATGCAATAACCCTGCTCAACCCCCCCGCAGCCACACTCACTTCCTGCACTCACTGCTCGAACTTACTTCCCAAAAAGGCGGACTGAGTGGCGTTGGCATCCAGAGGCACAGCAGCGAAGCACTGCGCTGTCTCATTCACCTGCACGCACACAAATGAAAGGACAAAGGTGGGTGGAATGCATGGGGAAAGAGTTTCGAGAGGTCTCAAAATTCGAAGCACTGTGCTGTCTCATTCACCTGTACGCACACGCACATGCGAGGCCCGGGGTAGGGTGAGCGCGTGGGGGTGGGGAGAGAGGAGATTAGTGATGGGTGGGAGCGAGCAGAAAGAGTGATTACATGTCCCATGCAGAGGACACGACATGTTGGTCTCTAGATATAGATAATACACGTTGTTGCTATGGCGGTGTGTGGGTAGAAGGAGAGAGCAGGGAGAGTGGGACGAGGAGAGAATAAGGAGGGACAACACGGCCGGACAACACGGCCTGACAACACGGCCGGACAACACGGCCGGACAACACGGCCTGACAACACGGCCGGACAACACGGCCGGACAACACGGCCGGACAACACGGCCTGACAACACGGCCGGACAACACGGCCGGACAACACGGCTGTTGGGAGTGAGAGCAGATGATTTCACATGGTACTGACATGACATCTAATAGCAATGCCGTGCGTCTCACCCACCCACTGTGCGGGAATCAGGATTCAACGGCACTCGTTACAAACACCTGAGAGAGTTTGAGACGTCTAAATAGTTGACTGTACGACCAGAACACTCCTAAGAATCCAGGGAGGGAGCAGTGGTTTCTGAGAACAGTGGAAAACAAGGATGGCACGAGTAGACTGAGCGTGAGAATAAAACCATGTGGTTCCAGGGGCGGAGCAATCGAGGTTGTTGTGAGACAGTCAGAAGTTGGTAGGGAGAGAAGGCGGGAAGGGGGAAACCTGGAAGGATTAGGAGGAGACTGGAATGAGGAAGAAGAGCGAGGAACAAGGTATGGGGGGATGGAGTGTCGGTGGGGAGGATGGGGATGAGAGGGGGGTGTGGGAGGAGCGGAGGAGGGTGAAGGGAGAAGGGAGGGAGAAGGGGAACGTGCTATATGGGGGAGGCGCATTCCACCATAGGGGGGGAAGGGGGGAGGTGCGTACCACCATGTAGTTCTGTGGCAGCACTGTGAGACTGCCCTCGGGGAAGTCAATGAGGATTGGCGGGAAGTAGACCTTCTTCGCCCTGTGGTGCAATGCAATGCAGTGCAGTGCAGTGCAGCGCAGCGCATTGCAGTGCAATGCAGTGCAGCGCAGTGCAGTGCAGTGCAGTGCAGTACAGTGCAGCGCAGCGCAGCGCAGCGCAGTGCAGTGCAGTGCAGCGCAGTGCAGTGCAGTGCAGTGCAGTGCAGTGCAGTGCCCCGTGTGCCGTGCGCATGTGGTGGGTGGTGCGCGGTGTGCGGTGGGTGGGTGACCAGGTGCGTGGGTGCAGGGTGGTAGGGGGTGGGTGTATGCGTTGTATTGGACATGGTGCATGGTGGAGAGAAGAGGAGGGAGGGGGTGGTGGGTTGGCAAGAGCGGGTTCAAATGGTGGAGCAAGATGCAAAAGGAGGAGAGAGGAGGGTTACGCGGCACACATGGGAGAGGTGGGGACAAAGTGGGATGGGAGGAGGAAGTGGAAAGGTTGCGGCTGAACAGACGAGATGAAAGAAAGTGTGTGAGTGGGTATGCATGCACGCGCACGTGTGCATTTGTGGCTTCTAGATTGCGTTTTGAGGGTAGCTGAAGTGGAACCATGGGTGGGGGAAGGAAGGGGAACAGATGGGTGAGTGAAAGAGGGAGCGAGGGGGGGTAAGGAAATGGAGAAGGGAACGGAAAGGGAGCAAGTGGGGGGGTGGGAGAACTAAAAGGAACCAGGGTGCGGGGAACGGAAAGGGAGCAGTGGAGGAGGGGGGATCGGAGGGTGGACTGGAATGAATGGGGAAGTGGAGGCGAGATCTTACGCTTTGTCGTTGACAACGCATGCCTTGTCCTACGAGCCAGATGGTTTTTGAGAATTTTAGAACCAGCTTGCACGGGGAAGTGACTTCTGAGTTGACTCAAAAGTAACTAGCTTGCATGGGGAAGTGAAGGAAAGAGCTTACGCTTCGTCGTTGACAACACATGCCTTGTCCTCCGAGCCAGTCCGGGTGAGAGAGGGATCCGCAAATAGCTGTTAACACACAGAGTCACACACACGCATGCATGCATGCATGCACGCATACACACCACACACATGCATGCGGACATGAATGCGTGCTTACACAGGAGGAGTAGGATTGACCCGAATGGAAAAGGAAGGCATGCACTGCACGAGGACAGGATGGATGAACGGTAGGAGAACAATGATGTATGTAACTCATGCATTCTGAAGTGAATTCGCTCTCCCTCGCACTTCACTTCTAATCTAACCCCTTTCCTTGGCCCCCTATGCCACCACACCACATGCCTCCCTCAGTCCTTCACCCAGTCCCAGTTCTCCCTCACTCAAGATCTCCCTCAACCAGTTTTTCGTCCCCCCCCCCCCCTCACGCATCACAGGCAAACATCCCCTCATCGCACCACACACCACACACCACGCACGAGACGCACGCACCATGTTGACCATGGCGTTGAAGACGGTTCTTTGGAAGCCCGAGTAGAGCACGGCCGTGTCCACTGTGAACCCCCCGCCATGCATCACAGGCAAACACCCCCTCACACCCCCCCACCGCACTGAAACACCCTCTCACCGCACGAGAAGTCCCTCTCACTGCACCACACACCACACGCACGCACCATGTTGACCATGGCATTGAAGACGATTCTGCTGAAGCCCGAGTAGAGCACGGCCGTGTCCACTGTGAATCCCCCCTGCGTGTTGTTCACCAGTGCTGCTAGATCAGAGCTGTTGCCCACTGCACTGCTGCCCATGCGCATGCCCTGCACTGGTAGGAAGGGGCGCGAGCTGATGGGGGGAGGGGGAGAGAGCAGGGGAGGGGAGAGGAGGAGGAGGAGGGGAGAATGGGAGAGGGGTAGAGGGGGAGAGTGGGAGAAGGGGATAAGCGAGTCTGGAGAAATGGGGGAGAGACGGGGAAAGGATAGGGGAGAAGGGGTGGAGAGTGGACAGGGAGAGGGAAGTGCCGTTGACCAGCACTGCGAGATCGGAGCTGTTTGCCACTGCACTGCTGCCCATGCACATGGAGGAAGGGGCGAGAGCTGATGGGGACAAGGGGAGAAGGGAAGAGGGGGAGAAGGGGGAGTAGAGAGATGGGGGAAAGGGGAAAGGATGGGAGAGCAAGGGGTGGAAGTGAGAGGAGTGTGGTTCAGAGTGTAGTGAGTGTGGTGGGAAGAGAGGGCAGTTCTGGTCATAACAGGAGAGCGGAGAGAGGAGCTACCCTCTCACACTTCTAGAGAGAATGCGCGTCATAGAGACCATTGCTCCTCCCAGTGTTTCTGAGTAGCTCATCTCATCTCCGCCACAACTTTCCCCCCGCCCCCACCGCCCACCCCAACCCCCTTTCCCCGCTCCACGCAACCAGCCAAGAAAAGCCGCAACTCAACAGCGCCGAGCTTGCGAAAGCACTTGGATTGATGATGGCTAGACCGAGGCCGACTTTTGAGTGGACTCAAGAGTCACCTCAAAAGTCTCTCGGATTCTTTGGTAGCCTGAGAAGAACCACAACCAGGTCCTGCATCCCATCACCTTCCTCCATGCCCCCCGCCCGCCCCTCCTTCCATTCCAACTCCCTTTCTTCCACACGCACACGTTGGGCAGCAGCCCGAGGCGAGTGGTGACCATGCCCGGGGCCGCGTCCACGCTGCATCGCCCATGAGCAGAGCGCCGCGCTGGTTGCCATGCCACCGTCGAAGCAACGAGGGGAGGCGCGCGCCAGGCCCAGAGACGTGTTGAGCTGCTTTTGAGACGCCTCAAAAACCTACAATGAATCCAGAATCCCAGACCATCCCCCCAACCCAAGCCCCCTTCCCCCTCCTCCCCCCAGCCCCCCTTTCCCCTCTCTCTCCCCCCGCTCCCCCTGCTCCACACGCACACGTTGGGCAGCAGCCCGAGGCGAGTGGTGACCATGCCCGGGGGCGCGTCCGCATCGCCCATGAGCAGAGCGCCGCGCTGGTTGCCCCCGTCGAAGCACAGCGAGTAGGCGCGCGCCAGGCCCAGAGAGGCGTTCAGCTGCGCTAGCAGGCCGTAGGGACGAGAGCCGAGGGCCAATACACCGTCTACTGATGAGCCGCCATAGCCCACGTCCATGCGCCCACAGCTGATGGGGAAGGAAGGGGTGGGAGGGATGGGGGGAGAGAAGGGGGAGAGGGGGAAGGAGATAGGAGGAGGGGCAGGAAGGAGGAGACAAGGGGAAAGAGTGAGGAGAGGGGAAGGGGGAGAGAAGGTTGGGAGAAGGCGCGAGCCAGGCCCAGAGAGGCGTTGAGCTGCTCTAACAGCCCATAGGGGCGAGCACTGAGATCCAACACCCCGTCCACTGATGAGCCCCCGTAGCCCACGTCCATGCAGGGAAGGGACAAGTGGAGGGTAGGGAGGGGAGTGAGGGGTGGGATAGTAGGCATGAAGGGGCAAGAGAGAAACAAAACGACCTTCCAGATGGGGGCAATCGGGGTGGAGCAGGAGGGAGCAGGGAGGAGAAGGGAGAAGCAGGGAGAAGCAGGGAGAAGCAGGGAGAAGCAGGGAGAAGCAGGGAGAAGCAGGGAGAAGCAGGGAGAAGCAGGGAGAAGCAGGGAGAAGCAGGGAGAAGCAGGGAGAAGCAGGGAGAAGCAGGGAGAAGCAGGGAGAAGCAGGGAGAAGCAGGGAGAAGCAGGGAGAAGCAGGGAGAAGCAGGGAGAAGCAGGGAGAAGCAGGGAGAAGCAGGGAGAAGCAGGGAGAAGCAGGGAGAAGCAGGGAGAAGCAGGGAGAAGCAGGGAGAAGCAGGGAGAAGCAGGGAGAAGCAGGGAGAAGCAGGGAGAAGCAGGGAGAAGCAGGGAGAAGCAGGGAGAAGCAGGGAGAAGCAGGGAGAAGCAGGGAGAAGCAGGGAGAAGCAGGGAGAAGCAGGGAGAAGCAGGGAGAAGCAGGGAGAAGCAGGGAGAAGCAGGGAGAAGCAGGGAGAAGCAGGGAGAAGCAGGGAGAAGCAGGGAGAAGCAGGGAGAAGCAGGGAGAAGCAGGGAGAAGCAGGGAGAAGCAGGGAGAAGCAGGGAGAAGCAGGGAGAAGCAGGGAGAAGCAGGGAGAAGCAGGGAGAAGCAGGGAGAAGCAGGAGAAGCAGGGAGAAGCAGGGAGAAGCAGGGAGAAGCAGGGTGAAGGAAGAAGCAGCGGGGAGCCATGAAAAGAGCAGGGCAGCGCACTTCTTCTGTCCTGCATGAGGTCCCCTGCAGGCGCATAGCGCAGGTCACTCGAGTCGTTGCAGGGGGCACCAGGGAGGAGCAGGGGGCAGCAGGAGGGGAAGAGGAGAAATCCAGGAAGAAAGCAACTCACCCGAAGTTGATTCTTGCCGCTTGCTCGCTGGCAGCCCCAGCCTTGACGACCTTGAGGAGCATGCGGTCCTGCACGAGGTCTCCCGCGGGCGCGTAGCGCAGGTCGCAGGAGGAGTTGGAGCGCGAGAGGTTGCGCGGCAGCGCAGAGCAGCCCGCTGCGGGCAGCTGCAGGCATGCTGGGGACGTGCAGTTGAGCAGCACTGCTGACGTGGAGTTGAGCGTTGTGTAGAAGGTGCGTTGCTGCGGGGGTGGAGGGAGGGGGGCGGATGGGAGGGAGCGAGGGAGAGCTTTTTAGTCAACTCAAAAGCCTGCTGACTGCAGTTGCATGCATGCTGGGGACGTGCAGTTGAGCAGCGCTGCTGACATGGAGTTGAGAGTTGTGTGTAGAAGGTGCGTTGCTGGGAGGGTGGAGGGAGGAGGGGAAGGAGGGAGGGCGGAGGAGGGGAAGGAGGGAGGGCGGAGGAGGGGAAGGAGGGAGGGCGGGCGGGAGGGAGGGATGGAGGGAGAGAGGAAAGGGGAGTGTGAGACGGGATCGAGGAGAATGTTTTTCCCCAACTGTGTGTGTATCACTACCTGGTCCTGGTCAATCTACCCCGTTCCTTCTCCCCTTCTCGTCCTCTTTCACGTGCTTCCTTGCTTGCTTCCATCCCTTCCATCTTTCCTCCTCTCCGTCTCACACTCCCTCCCAAGTCGCCTCCCTTCCTGCTCCCAACCTTACCACCTCAGCGCTACAGGCAAGCCGAGCCGAGCAGGCATGCATGTTCTCATCTCTCCACACAGAAAGCCTTGCGCCTCAAAAGACAAAGCCACATCTCTCAAGTCTCTGCAGCTCGTGCTGAGGCTCCTCCTGAGGCGCCTCAAAAGGCAACGCCATGTCTCAGGACTCTATGTTTCATCCTGGGGCTCGTTTGTGCGAGCATGTGAGCGAGGCAGGCAGGCAGGAAGCCTCGTGCAACCCAACCCGCCAGCCAGTGCACTCGATGCAGTCGAAGAGTAGACCCTCTATTTGAGGCGTCTCAGAGTGTTGCTTGCTTGTGCTCACATGATTCTGAGGCACCTTGGAAGGAGGGGGCAAGCATGGAAATGAGAATGAGAATGGGAATGGTGAGCAGAGCAGAGCAGAGCCTGACCTGACCTTGATGACGGGCGAGTCCTGTGGGCACTTGATGCAGTCGCAGTAGAGCCAGGAGAGCCCATAGGCGCCTCAGGGTGCTGCGCTCACGTGCTCTTGAGGCAACTCGAAAGGAGCACACTGACCTTGATGACAGGCGAGTCCTGTGGGCACTTGATGCAGTCGCAGTAGAGCCAGGAGAGGCTCACTGCCGTGTCCACCAGTGCCACATACATCCTGCGCGGCGCGTCTATGAACAGCGGCGAGTAGAAGCGCCTGGGGGGAGGGGAAGGGGAGGGAGAGGGGGAGGGGGAGGGAAAGGAAGATGAAGGGGAGGAGAGAGGGGACGGAGAGGAGGGATGGGAAGGAGAGGAGGAAGATGATTACAGATTGATCTCCGAAAATGGAAGAGCAGAGTGGCGGGTGTAGAACGGATGGGAGGAATGGAAGAGATTGAAGGGATCGGAAGAACGGGTGGGAAGAATTGGGCGGGATCGGAGGGAAGGAAAGAATGGGTGTTGCTGTAGTTTGTGGGTATGGTAATTTTGAAGGTCACTTTGAGACTCCCACGCCGAAACAGTGGTTGGTGGGAGTGGTCGGAAACTGAACAAATGGGACTGGCATGGGCAACATGAGTGGTTAGGTAAATCAAGTGGATATCGCGGATGGATGGATAGGGCGTACTGCAAGAGAAACGCAGAGCTGAGAGGTAAGTCGCTCGCGACGAAGAAGAAGAAAAAGATAAGAGAATAAAAGAGAGAGGTCACCCATATTGAAAAGCGCCTGCTGACAGGAGTTGCAGCACCACCATGCCTTGATTCTTCTCAGCAAAGGATGTATCGCCCGCCTGCTGCAGCACTCGATGCTGCCAGTCACAAACACGCATGGGCAGGAAATCGTCGGGAAATAATGAGGTAGGGCAATGGCAAACGTCAGGAGAACGTCCTGCATGTCTCTCTGTTTGTGTGTAGTGCAGTGCAGTGCGATGCATTGCAGGTGGATGTGCAGAAGCTTGCATGAGAGACCAGAGCATCGAGGCTGGGTGGGCTCTGCAGGATGCGTTCTTAGACTTGCCACACACGCAACTTGTCTGCAGTCTTGGAGGAGAAAGTTGACAGCTGCTATCATCAGAGTCTCTAGAGAGTTGGCTGCATGCCCTCACACATACATCCAAGGCCACACACACCCTATGGATCCGTGGCCACTTTGAGCGGCCATGGTTTGCATGGCATGGCCGGGCGTACCTGGCTAGGTACTGGTCCCAATGCATCAACGCTTCGAGGCACTGTGCATGCATCGTCTGCTGACTGACATTACGTTACCTGGTAACTGGAGTTAGCATTGCTGCTTATAACATTGCTGTGGCTGCTGCTGGAGTGAAAGAGCGGTGGAGACCCCATGACAGCCACCTCTTCCTGCTGCTCGTGCTCTCGCCACTGCTGTCGCTGCTGCCGCTGCTGCCTCTGCATGGTGGTGGCCCATTCTGGCAGGCTTGTTCGAGCAGCAGCTGCAGTGAGAAGCAAGTCGGACTCAAGAGGTCCCTGACGGGATGAAGGGAGGGAAAACATGGGCGGAGTGCAATATGCAGAATTACCACTGGAATGGTTCCTGATAGACACACAGACAGACAGACAGACAGACAGACAGAGAGACAGACATACAGACACATACAAATTCACTTACACATTCACTTACACATACACATACACATACACATACACATTCACATACACATTCACATACACATACAGACATACACATACACACTGCAGCAGCAGCAGCAGACATTCCAGTCCGACCTGTGGCTTCGTTCGGCCAGGGTATGAATCTCACAGAGGGTGTGCTAGAGAGCACACTCCCGCTCACACCGGATGCTGCTATGAAGTGCCCTTATGCCAGGTCAGCGATTTCTATTGCCAAATCAGGAAACTGTGCCGTTGTGGTGCCACATTCAAGGTGCCGAGTGCCGAATCAGGGACCACACAATGACACATCAAGGTGCAGGGGGGCTTGCCCTGCTACCCACAACGCGAATAGCTTCTAGTCACCCTTTCCCCATCTGCCTCACTGCCTCTCTTCCCTTCTTCTAAAAAAAAAAGGTCCTGGGGCCATTCCCGGATTTTAGGCATTCCTGGATTTTGTACCTCTCGGGGTATGGCCTGGAGAACACCCTGATTTCTCTGAACATTTGACATCTAAGAGCAGCTACCCTCGGGCCTCCCACCCTCGGGCCTCCCACCCTCGAGCCGCCTACTCTTACCTCCTGGTGTGGGAGAAACTGCGAGGAGCAGACATGGAGGAACGCGAGGAGGGCCATGAGGTGCGCTGCAGAGCCTGCAAGCGGCTTCCAACCCGCTGCGCACCCTGGGATTGCCGAACGAGCAGCCATGGCCGCACACGAACGATGAGAACTCCACGCGGGCTATGAGGGATTCACCGCACGGATTGCTCAGAGTATCAGCGTAAGGAGACCGCCGTGGGTAGCGTCGAGGTGGTATTGTGAGTTGGACGAACTAAGCCCGCTCCGTGCTATGGCCGCCTGTTTCCACCGAGGAAGAGGGGGAGGCGAGAGCCGCGAGAGACGGGAGAGAGAGCAGAGGAAGCAGCGCAGGAAGATGAGAAGCGAGGAGAGGAAGGCGCGAAGGAACAGTGAACCGGATGCTGAATTTACACGTGGCCCATGGCAATGTGGTTGTTGTTCATGCAGTGAGCGGTGAGACAGGAGAGGGGCATTATCAATGGCCTACATTCCTTTCCATTCCATTCCAGAACCAGCGTCATGAGAGTTCACCTTTTGCTCGTAATGAGGCGCTGATCGCGGCGCGGTGCTTCGAGATTGAGAACGGTTTGCTCGGTCCACCTCTTGGAGTCGTTACAGAGCGGCCCCCAGGCGGTCTCAAAGATTTTTCTAAGAATGTAACTAATCTTTCGTGTCACGTCACAACGTCCAAACCACGTACAATAAGACCTGGAATTCCGCAACGACGGGTTAGTGCGTTACTCGCATTGTCGGCACGAATGATCAGGATGCTCTTCGAGTCAGCTAAGAGCTACACGGCAAAAAAAACAGATAAGGAATACGCCAAATCCACCGTATCGTCGACGAGGAACAAAGTCGTACGGGAGACTCTGAAAGGAAACGAATGTGTGTCGCGTTTCATACAGTCCTTTCCACAGAGGCCTGGAGTGAAAGCACGCGAATCTAGCAAATCCAGTCAGTCACTATGATCGCATCGCATGTCGACACTCGAGCGGTGAATGCGAAAATAGTCACTCGTTCAACCGGTGCACTATCCGCCGCATCATGGAACAGAGGGCGCTGTGCTGCTACATGCGATGGGCGAATGGGTTGATCGCAAGTTCCACCACACTCAGCCGGAAGGAACTGAGTGAACCGTACAGCCCAGCAGGACTGCACTGCATTTCCCCGATGGAACCCTATTGCGTGCCGAGCAAGGCCCAGAACCACTAGGTGCTTTCACAAGGTGCTTGATTTACTGAACCGCTCCAGAGCGCAAAGTACCTTTTTGAAACGGAACCGTTTTGACATCCCGTTATGAACGTCTTGTGAAGCTGACACACAACGTGGCGCGTGCCTGACGTCTCCGAAGAGGGGTGCGGGTACGGTGACCAAGCCAAGCTCCCACAACCGAACCGCGCCAGTCTGAATTCGGTGAGGCAAATTTACCCTAGTGATTGGCTCGTGAGTGAGGTTCGGGTTTGGAGCTGTGAATGCAAGCATGCCCCAAACATCTTCTGCTGAGCCAGGAATTCGAGGGGGACCTGAACGCGTACCAGTAATTGCGCGCATCAGCCACATGCAGGTGCTGTTCAACTGGAGTTCTCATCGCCACAACGTTGGTGGATTAGTAAACCGAGGTAAACTTCTCGTTTTGGTTGACTTGGCAACACATGAAGGTTCAGTAATAACCGAGGTAAACTTCTCGTTTGAACAACTCAGCCAAACTCGGGTCTGCCCATCGGGAACCCGGTCAGGCAGAAATGTGAACGAAGGGTAACCTCTCCCCCCCTTCCTTCCTCCACCCACATAGGTTTAGAGCAGCAAGGATTCGAGAAAATATTTTGTTGAAGTTTGATTTTGGTCGGTGGTTGGGCGTTCAAGCTGCCTTTTTTGGCTTTTTGTTCCAGCCCCGTTATCAGTGGTGCCGAGGTGATTTCACCTCAAGAGGCCAAACCAGCGGTGCGGACCAATTGCCTGGCGAGGAATTGGCGTGGAACAAACGGGCGGTTACAGTACAGTGTCACAAAAGTGCTGTTCTGCATGTTTTCTCGGTTTTCTTGATGCGCCCAGCTTCGGACAGTGCCCAACCTGAACCGACGTACCACTGGTGCGGATGGAAGAATCCGCGAAGGCCATTTTTTGCCAAAAGAACAGTCCCGTAGTGCACAAAGGCGCTGCATTGGCATGACAGTGGCATCAGTTTCTGCCGCCAGAAACTTCCCCTGCAGCTCGAAGCACTTTCCCTGTTTGGGAAATTTCGCATTTCGGCTGAGGAAAGCGGGAGCCCGAGAAGAGAGACTTCCGCCCCCCTATAGCAACAGTTTCGTCACGGGCTGTGTAGAAATTTCAGCAGCAATCTGGAGCAAGGTTGGGTAAAAAGAGACCGGAAAACGGAAAACTAACCGGTCCCCACAAAGCCTGGTCGTCAATGCGGAGAATACTATTCTACGAGAATACTAGCATGGGACACACGGTCAGAGTTCTGGCAGTGATTCTGAGTGAAATTTAGTTGCCTTGGTAGAATTCAAGCATAGGTCCACTAGCAAAAGTTCATAGAACAAGAGTATGATACAAGCAAGGAGAACCAAATAGCAAAGACAATGAACCATGTAAAAACGTTCCTAGACAAGCACTTGAATCTGTTAAGTCAGCAACGGCAGGTGAAACGACAAACACATGCATATTTCACCTGAGTTGGTAGTTGCTCAGGTTTACAGCGTTCATAGTTGTGCACGTTTTTACTGTTAGTAAAAACGTGTTTCAGGTTCAGTTTCCTTACTGAATCGAATTCTCCTGGGGAGTACATTTCCGAAATTTCCTGATTGGTCGAAATTTGCTGTTCCGTGACTGGGCGAAATTCGCGCACATTGCAAATTTTGGAGCCAAGTAGTTCTGGTCGACCAGAATCGATCTGCTCGACGAAACACTCTTCGAACTAAATTCTGTCGACCAGCAGTCCGTCGAAACACCAATTCTGCCAATTCCGTCTATCAGAAAGGCTCGTCTTTGACGCCGTTTTACTCCCGTCGACGAGCTCCTTCTAGACGAGGACTTTGATTGAGCAGAGGAAACACTTCTACCTCGATCAATTAATCTCGTCGACAAACGACTCGTTGCACACAGATGAAAGTCCCCAAAGTCGCCGATGACCACGAAACGAACACCGTCTTGTTCCGAAATGCATCGTCGAATTCGCCCAAGCGAGGGCGGGGCCTTTTCTCTTCGACAGTCAAGCACGTTTCTTTTTACAAGGGCGCCTTTGGTTGCTGCTTTTTTTTTCAGCAGGGTGAGATTGCGGTTTTCCCAACTGGCCGATGCCTCTGCCATCTCGCGGCCAACCACCTCTCTCGGGTGGTTTGCCACGGGGTGGCACAGGCACCACAAATTGCTTGAGAGGGAAAACGCAGGGAGGTTTCGAACCCATCTGATGCCGTAGCCAAAAGGTATGTTCTGCAGCCAGTGCCATTCTGGCGGCATCGACAGAGATGGAACATTTTTAGGGCTGCCCCCCAAAAAGTCAACGTTTTGGCAACTTCTCTGCACTTTCTTCCGACGGCATCAAACACCTGGAGAACAGTGCCAAACTGTTGATTACAAAATAGGGATCTGTGCAAACATCTGCCAATATCATAAACGACTGTCCAGCAACCATACTCATCCATCACCTGGTCATGTCCAGCAACACTATCTGAGTCACACCATACGGTTGCATCTTCTCCGATAACCCATGTGCCAACGGCTTACAAAGCCTCAACGCAACCACACGATACGATGTGAGAAGACAATTCCAAATCCCAATCCATCCTAGTGGCTCTTTCTCCACCCTCCCTGTCTGTTTGAAGTCACCATACAACTAACCAAACGCATTGAAAAGCGGAGCATTACCAGCCGCGCCTCCTGAGGCTCCAGGAACGCCACCGACTCCACCATACATGCCTGCAAGTGATCCCACTCCTGCTGCTCCCATGCCCACTCCACCTGGCACACCACCCATCCCAGCAGCCCCTGCTCCAGGCACAGCCGCAGCACCAGGCATGGGGAACGCAGCAAAGCCTCCCAAGCCAGCAGCACCACCCGCGACCGGAGCAGCACCGAAACCCATGGGCATGGTAGGCACTGCCCCCACACCAGCAACACCAGCAGCACCAGGCATCACCCCTAGGCCACCCATTCCTGCCATGCCGAAACCAGCAGCTGCTGCAGGAGCAGGCACAGGCGTAGTGAGGGTGCTTGCTCCTGCCATTCCCTTGCCTGAACCCTGGCCCATGGCCTTACCCATAGACATGCCTCCCATGTTAAAGGGGCTGGGGCTGGCAGTGGGGGCTGCAGCGGAGGAAGTTGGAGAGACCACTGACTTAGGATCAGACTTGAGTGAGGCTGAGTCTGTCATGATGCCCAAGGCTGCAAGGTTCTCATCCTTGGCTGGGAAGGGGAATGGTGGACAGAATGGCAGGACAAGAGCAGGGGATCATGAAGAAAGGGCACACAGGGCAAGAGGACAAGCAGCAGAATAAGGACACACGGGGTAGAAAAAGGCTCAGATTGAAAAGCAACAAGTACAGAGTAAACGACAAAGACTTATTACATGAAGCACCTTGCACAAACATGCTCGTAAACGTTCATCAGGCACATTTTCTGGATCTCAAGCCCCCTTCTGCCTCTCACATTCCCTCCTCAAATTTCATTCAAGCATAGTCACAAATTCTTGGAGATCATCACTACTACATAAACAAAACCACCAGGTAAATGTTTTGTGCAACACTCACATGAGGTGATGGCGAGGTCAATGAGTCCAGAGCTGAGAGCATCCGCCCACAGCCCAGGCGACTTGCCTCCCTGCGATGCAGCAGAGGCAGATGGACGGGCAGCCGAAGCAGCAGCCGGGCTAGCACCCATGCCAAAACTGGAACCAGGAGTGGAGAAGGCAGGGGGCGCAGCAGGAGTGGCAGAGACACCAAGCATGGCAGCAAAGGGGTCGGCAGAGGCTGCAGGCGCAGGAGGAGCAGGAGCTGCTGCTGAGAAGTCACCAAAGTCATCGGCAGCAGGAGCGGAAAAGGCAGGTGCAGGTGCGGACA